CCCCAAAACCCCAAAACCCCAAAACCCCTACTGATTATAAGAAAATTGGCCTATTATATTATTTTATATTGTCAAAAAGCTACAAATCACAAATGGAAGAGGATTTACGAGGACTTGAGATTATCGAGGAGCAGTGCCAAAGTAAAGAAGCAAGCCATATACTTGACACTCCTACTTTAAAATCAACCTTCTCACAAAAGATTAAAACTATAAAGAAGTGAGAGAATATCTTAATAATTGATGGAGATTATTTCGAAATAGGGATTAAAGAGATGGAAAAAGCTAATTCATCCAGGCTTTGTCTCTCTAATCCAGATAACCTTGAAAGACTCATCTCTTTTATTGAGAGCAAGACAGGGATCAGCCACTTTGACTGGAAATCATTCCATTCAGCAGAAGAGCCTAAATCTAAATAAGAGAAAATCATATTATAGTGTTTTAGAAAATAATGGGTTTGCGTTTGATATTCGTGAATTCAAATCCAAATAAAGTCAAATGCCCTAACAACACTTGTCAACATTCAAAGAAGGCTTTTGTAACAAGAGTTCAAGCAGAAGTTGATATTGCCATAACAATGACAGCTATGGAGCTTGCTCTAGCTCACAGTGAGGAAGTTAAAAATATAGTATTCATCATTGGTGACCGGGACTTTTATGACCTTTTCAAATACCTCTCTCCAAGGTTTAACACTAAAATCTTTGGCTTTCGTACTAACCTAAGTGGGAAATACTTTGAGTTGCTCTCTATGGACAGCTTCATTTACCTCAATGATTATTGGAGCCAAATTGTGTTATCAAATGAGGATGAAGAGTTTCCTCCTTTGGAATCCAGTGGGAATAAATTTATTGAACAAAGACAAATAAATTTCAAAAAGACTCCAAGTGAAACTCCCAAAGTAAGACAAAACGGAGAGAAAGAGCCTGCCACTCCAAGTCATAAGAAGAGGAGAAAGAAGAACAAGAACAATTCTAAGCAGCATAAAAGAGAAGAGGAAAAGAATAGATCAGCAGGAAGTAAGGAAGATCCAGCTTCCCACTCCTCAACTGACAACTCGATGAATATGATAAGTAAGTTTAACATTTGAAAAATCTTAATATTCTGTATAGACTCACCAAAGAAGATATCAAAAAGAGTACATCTCAAGAACACAGAGTTAGATATCTTCATGGGAATGGGCCTTGAAGAGTCCGATATCCTTGAAATTTATCAGAATAATGGCAAAAATTTAGAAGCCACTCTTGAAGCTATCATTGATAGCTTCTAATTTGAAAAGTATATAACAAATTTATAACTTAAATTTATTTCTCAAGAGATTAATTTCATAGAGATTTCAGATTTTTCAAAGGAAAACAGTTTCAGCGGATTTTGTGTTAATAGCTCACACTTCATCAAAGTTTCAATTTCATAAAATATAATTGGGGTTTTGGGGTTTTGGGGTTTTGGGGTTTTGGGG